TATGGATTCTATTTATATCTATTGCACGGAGTGTGTGATATTTAAAACTTAATCGACTTGCTAACTTTGTCCTTGAAAGTATGAATTCTCTAAAAGCAATTTCATAGTTATAAAAATTTGCTTGCTTCTCTTCATTCCTTTCGCGGTTCTACATCAAAAGATTTCAATAAAAAATAAAAAATGTAACATTAATCGCACAATTAATAGAAAAGAGATATAATAAATGTTATTCATTGTAGCGATAATAATCAATTTAGTTGATAGTGGATTGTCTGATCATTTGTTTAATGGATGATGATAGATAAGATAATCTATTACTACCTAAGCTTAAATTGATGATTATTACTAAAATGAATAACATTATTCAATTTTTTTTGGTTAAAATTGTGATAGAACTTTTATCCCTTGTTGGTGTAGCTAGAAAAGGTGATAAAAAATCAAAGTTAATAATTAAGTTTCTATTTGATTCCCCTTTAATTGGTGAGAAAAATTGAGTTTTGAATAATATTTTTAGGAGAATGTATGGTTAAAGGGTAAGGAAAAGTTTTATGAGAATGTATAAAATATTTTATTGTATAAATGTATATTGAAAATGGTCATGTTGCAAATCAAAAATTATATTAGTGGGAATTAAACGGGTCCTAATTCTAACCACAAATTTTATTAAATTAATAATTCTAATGATTTTTTGGTCATACATTTTATTAACTTAATCAAAATTTACTAAAAATGTAATTTTTAACTACAACGGGCTAATTTCATTTAAAAGGATTTGACTACTATTTGATTATTTTTCATCTACTAAAATATTACAAAGCTTTTCAGGTTGATTAAAGCTAGCGCGTTGGTTAATCATGTATGAACCCATGATTAACCCTCAAATTTCTAGAATTTTGGCCAAAGTTAATTTCTCACCTACGGTTAAGCTTCTATTTGATGGTCATTAGTTGAGAAAAAGAAAATTTTCCATAGTAAATTTTAGAAAAACGTGTGGTTAAAAATAGGTAAAAGTTTTAAATTTTATTGTGTGAATATACGATTGAAAATAAATATGTAAAAAAAATTTAAATAATTATTGCCAAACAAGGCTAAATAAAAATTGTATAGTCAAAATTTAACCAAACAAACCTATTGGATTCCATCACTCTAATGTCAAAACCCAATTAAACCATGGTTTATTTACAAGAAAACCGTCCAGACTCAAGACCAGGACAAAAGAACAGGGCTCTTATTTATAACTGACACGTGTCCCATCTAAGCAATCTAAAAAGAAATATGAATTAATATATGTTGTTAGCGCATTGGTTAATCATGTATGAACCCATGATTAACCCTCAAATTTCTAGAATTTTGGCTAAAATTAATTTTTCACCTACAGTTAAGCTTCTATTTGATGGTCATTAGTTGAGAAAAATAAAATTTTACATAGTAAATTTTAGAAAATGTGTGGTTAAAAATAGGTAAAAGTTTTAAATTTTATTGTGTGAATATACGATTGAAAATAAATATGTAAAAAAAAATTTAAATAATTATTGCCAAACAAGGCTAAATAAAAATTGTATAGTCAAAATTTAACCAAACAAACCTATTAGATTCCATCACTCTAATGTCAAAACCCAATTAAACCATGGTTTATTTACAAGAAAACCGTCCAGACTCAAGACCAGGACAAAAGAACAGGGCTCTTATTTATAACTGACACGTGTCCCATCTAAGCAATCTAAAAAGAAATATGAATTAATATATGTTGTTAGCGCATTGGTTAATCATGTATGAACCCATGATTAACCCTCAAATTTCTAGAATTTTGGCTAAAATTAATTTTTCACCTACAGTTAAGCTTCTATTTGATGGTCATTAGTTGAGAAAAATAAAATTTTACATAGTAAATTTTAGAAAATGTGTGGTTAAAAATAGGTAAAAGTTTTAAATTTTATTGTGTGAATATACGATTGAAAATAAATATGTAAAAAAAAATTTAAATAATTATTGCCAAACAAGGCTAAATAAAAATTGTATAGTCAAAATTTAACCAAACAAACCTATTAGATTCCATCACTCTAATGTCAAAACCCAATTAAACCATGGTTTATTTACAAGAAAACCGTCCAGACTCGAGATCAGGACAAAAAACAGGGCTCTTATTTATAACTGCCACGTGTCCCACCTAAGCAATCTAAAAAGAAATATGAATTAATATATGTTGTTAGCGCGTTGGTTAATCATGTATGAACCTATGATTAACCCTCAAATTTCTAGAATTTTGGCTAAAATTAATTTTTCACCTACAGTTAAGCTTCTATTTGATGGTCATTAGTTGAGAAAAATAAAATTTTACATAGTAAATTTTAGAAAATGTGTGGTTAAAAATAGGTAAAAGTTTTAAATTTTATTGTGTGAATATACGATTGAAAATAAATATGTAAAAAAAAATTTAAATAATTATTGCCAAACAAGGCTAAATAAAAATTGTATAGTCAAAATTTAACCAAACAAACCTATTAGATTCCATCACTCTAATGTCAAAACCCAATTAAACCATGGTTTATTTACAAGAAAACCGTCCAGACTCGAGATCAGGACAAAAAACAGGGCTCTTATTTATAACTGCCACGTGTCCCACCTAAGCAATCTAAAAAGAAATATGAATTAATATATGTTGTTAGCGCGTTGGTTAATCATGTATGAACCTATGATTAACCCTCAAATTTCTAGAATTTTGGCCAAAATTAATTTCTCACCTACAGTTAAGCTTCTATTTGATGGTCATTAGTTGAGAAAAAGAAAATTTTACATAATAAATTTTAGAAAAATGTGTGGTTAAAAATAGGTAAACGTTTTAAATTTATGTGCATAATGTTTTATTGTGTGAATGTACGATTGAAAATAAATATGTAAATTTTTTTTTAAATAATTATTGCCAAACAGGGCTAAATAAAAATTGTATAGTCAAAATTTAACCAAACAAACCTATTGGATTCCATCACTCTAATGTCAAAACCCAATTAAACCGTGGTTTATTTACAAGAAAACCGTCCAGACTTAAGATCAGGACAAAAAACAGGGCTCTTATTTATAACTGCCGCGTGTCCCATCTAAGCAATCTAAAAAGAAATATGAATTAATATATGTTGTTAGGTTAAAATTATCATAAATGAGTTTAGCTCATGAATCACTTTAAATTAAAATTTTTTATTTTTCATACTCATTTTCAACAATATATTTACATAATAAAATATGTTATACATAAATAATTATTTACTTTTTAACTACACATTAAAAAAAAAAAATACTATTTAAAACATTATTTTCCTCCAATTTTTCTTCAACGACCATCAAACATGGGCTTGAAATTGTTGCATCACAACTTAATTGCATTCAAAAATTGCAATGGGCAATTTCCCGCCCCGTTACCTGTTTAAGGCGGGGCGAGGTAGCCCTTGTCCCGTTTACGTACTCATTTTTTTTTCTTTGATAATTCATTTTATTGTTTCCATTCATTAAAGTGAAACAATAATATAGTTATTAAAATTTTAAATTAAATAATTGTTTTTTAAAAGTTAGATTATTTAAATATATTTGATAAACGAAAATTTTTATTTTATATCATATTTCTTAAATAATTTTAATTGTCATCTTCTATTAGAATTAATGAAATTTTCATTTAAAGTATTGAATTATTTTAAAAAAATAAACGCGGCAGGACGGGCCCCTGTTAGCCGTACCGGCCTCAAATACACTATTAAGCGGGTAATCCTCTACTGGTATATAGTTTGATGGGTTTTTTGCCATCCTTAGAAAGATTTTATAAAATATTTTATTTGATGTTTTGAAATCATGAAAAAAAGGTATATACACACATTTTTTAATTTCTTGTTTTCTTAAAGTGTGATGAAAAGAAAGTCATTTGACGTCTTTTCAACGAAATTTAAGAATATTAATAAAGTTTACACGTGTTAATCAATAGAAGACTGAGAATGATTAAAAAAATTGAGAATATAAATGCTATGATAAAAAGGATTGATGATCTCAAGTGCAAGTATAATTACCATTTCTTAATTATTCGATGTCGCCACCACGCCCCGTATATTTTATATGTTCTACTTTATTCATTAATAAATAATTCTTGTTTAAGCCTCGTTTTTCTAAAAATTTATTATTTTAAAATCCATTATCAACAATTTATTTTTAATAAAATAATATTACACGTAAATTTAAAATAATTTTTTAATTTTTAACTTTACATTTTTTATTAATGTATTATTTAAAATACATTTTTTTCCCTCAAAACGGGGCTGGCTAAGACTTGGAATATTTAGTTTAACCCATTTTGTTACCCTATATTAATTACGTTAATCTAATTTCGGGATTAGTGAATACGTGGCATGGTTTGCAAAATGGAATAGCTGATATTTGGGATTTTGCACTAATTATATTAATTGTGACTGCGACAAAAACTCCGTCAATTCTGGTGATATACTTTTTTAGAAATAAATTAACTCTATATAAAATAAATAACGAAACAAATTTATTAGAGAAAATTTCATATTCAATCCTTAACCTTTAGCTTTTGTGAAAAATTAATCCCCAACCTTCGCAATCAAACTTATCTGTATCACCCTTGGTCAATTACAATTTTTTCTCTACTTTTTGATATCTCATTTTCCATCTTTTTAATTAAAGTTATGTAATAGTATCGAAACATAACAAAAAAACCTTCAATTTCAACACGACGCAAAATTTGGGTTTTGATAAGTTCAATTTTGATGTTGAGAACTAGTTTGACTCAGACACTAAAGATGAGGGACTAGATGTACAATTTGGCCGAAATACTTTTTGACAATTTTTTTGTCTATTTAAGGTGGACAAATATTGTTTATTTTAATATTAATTTACAGCGACAAATATTATTACCTTAATATTAATAATATATATTATTTAATACAGAAAGTGGGCCCCATTGGGAGGACATGGGTGAAAACAGATACCTAGGCAGTGACGCTGCCATGTAGTGCAGTCCTTACCTCTTTGAAACTACACTCTCTTGTTTCTCTGTCTGAAAATCTGTTCTCTCTCTTATTAATCCATGGCGTAAAAGCCAGTTTGTATTAGGGTTTCTCTTTGTTCTCGCGCCCCTTTAGGTATGTGGCTTTTTCCTCTTGGAGTCCCTTTTTCCACGAGCGATTTTGTAGTAAATTGCTGTGAAGATGGTTTATGTTGCTGCATTTGGTTGAAATCTTTTGTTTTGTTCAAATCTGATCTTTTGTGGGTTTATAAAGATGTTTTACAAGAACTTGGACTTATTTATCTGTAAAATATTGTTTTTCTCGCTCTTGAGACTTAATTCGTCTCGTTGAAATTCAGTCAGTTTATGGTTTCTTCGTTCTCTATTTCGTACATCATCTTCTTCTCCAAATCTAAGAGTCTTTGAGGTAAAATTGCTGTTTTCTTGAAGTCCCTTTTTTTATCAGTGATTTTTTGTTAAATTTCTGGGTTTATACAAAATTACAGTAAAAATGGGTTGTGTTTGCTGCAATTTTTCTGAAATCTATGAATTTTATTTTATTAAAAACAGCCATCAAATCCGATCTTTAGATTTACTCTTTGTTTTTGTTGGGTTTTTAAGTTGTTCAGTTTTAATTTTGAATTATTCTTCTCTTTTTGTAAACCTTTTTTTATGGTTTTGTTTCTCTTTTTTCGCACCCATTTGCATTTCCAGTTTTTTTATTCTCAAACTCTCGGACTTTTCAAGATATTTTTTCATGGAACCTCCTTTATTTCCGTTGTTTGGGTATTTTTGTTTAATTTTATATTTTACAAAAAAAAGCTCATTTTTTTTAACACCTTTTGGTGAATTGTTTTGATTTTTATGTTAAAATCCCATCTGTGGTTTTAAGTGTTTATAAGATTTATAACTCTAAACCTCCTTGGATTCTTTCGTCTTTTTGCTTTTATTTTCACATCATTTCAGCACCCATTTACATTTTCAGTTTTCTTCTCAAGCTTTTGGAGTTTTCGAGGTTATTTTCCTTGGAATCCCCTTTATTCCCTTATATTTGGGTATTTTTGCTAAATTGTTCCTTTACTAAAAAAATAGTTTTTTTTATTGCCTTTTGGTGATGTATTGTGATTTTTATGATGTTATTATTATTATTTTAATATAACCTGATCTTTATATCACTTGCTACCCTTTTCGTGGTTTTTAAAGTGTTTATTAAGAGTTTTGATTTCTAAATCTCCTTAGATTCTTTTTTCCCCTTTTTTTTTTTTGCTTTTATTTTCACATATATATATTTTTTAGTGCGTAGCTATCTTTTGATTTACTCTTGCTGTTTCTTTACTCTAGCTAGAAATAGTTTTTGGCGAGTTATTAGTATTTTTAAATGCTTTTCCCCTCATTTCGTCTCATGCAATTTGTTTCTTCTTCTTCTTCTTCTTTTTTCAGCTTTTAGTCCCAGAGGAAGCGGTTCTTTTTTGTTTTTATATTTTTTGGCGGGGGACAGTGTTTGGATCTTATTAAAATAAGTTTTATTATCCATTATTATTATTATTAATTTTTTTTTTAGTTGCTCTCTGTTTTTCTGTTTATTGTCATGCATGTGTCATTTTTGGTTTTCGTTTTATCTGAGAAAAACTTCCAGATTACTAGGAAGAAAGCTTAATCTGAATGAATCAGAATTTTTCTTTGTTTTTTTCCTTGCTCTTGTCATGGACTAGTTTATGGGTTGGCTATTTTTCTTCGGGGTTCTCTAGTTTCAGTTTTCTGTCTTTCCCTTCCTTTTGGTGAATTGTAATTATACATTATCTCTTGACATAATAGTTGCCGGACTTGCAGAACCACTGGTGAAACTTTTCTAAGATATCTGACAATGGATCCCTCTGAACAAGCGCATAATGGTGAACAAGAGCATAATGGGGCTGCGGATCCTTTGCCGCCTCCCCCACCCGTTCCTCCAAATGTGACTCCAATCAAAGCGGAATCAGAACAAGCAGTGAAAAAGGTTTTTCGTGCTCCAATGGCTAGGCGAGGTATGGGGACCAAGGGGAATAAGGTTCCTATTCTTACTAATCACTTCAAAGTGAATGTCTCCAATGTTGATGGGCACTTCTTTCATTACAGTGTATGTTCTTGAACCCCTCTACTTTCCTATTTTGGAGGTACTTTTTTACGAGTTTCACTTAAGATTGTGTGGCGTACCTGATAATTTACTGCTGAATTGTTTCTTCGTAGGTTTCCCTGGCCTATGAAGATGGTCATCCTGTAGATGGAAAAGGTATTGGAAGAAAAGTTTTGGACAGAGTTCAACAGACATACGACACTGAGTTGGCTGGAAAAGAATTTGCTTATGATGGGGAGAAAAGCCTTTTTACTGTTGGTGCACTTCCAAGAAACAAACTTGAGTTTACTGTTGTACTCGATGATGTTACATCAAATAGGTTTGTCTGAATATATGTTGTTTTTATTGCTTCCGTTGATATTTGTGTCTTTATGCTAATGAATGGTTTGTATGTAGGAACAATGGGAATGCTAGTCCTGGAGGGCCTGGAAGTCCTAATGATAATGACAAGAAAAGGACAAGACGCTCATATCGATCCAAGACTTATAAAGTGGAGATAAGTTTTGCTGCTAAAATCCCAATGCAGGCAATTGCAAATGCTCTACGTGGTCAGGAATCTGAGAACTCCCAAGAAGCATTAAGAGTATTGGATATCATTTTAAGGCAACATGCTGCAAAGAAGTAAGTGTTACTTATAGCTTCAAGTCATTATGACATGAATTAGATTATGCTCGACTATGCTAAAATGTTAGTTTTATTGAAAGTAAGTCAAGACTCATTTATAATGATAAAGTAAGTTACTTTCTAAAAGAGCCAATTTTAAATGGTAAAAGAAGTAATTACATGTTTGGCAAATAAATAACCGCACGACCGTTTAACATGCATTTATCACGCAAAGTTGTTATTATATGATATGTACTTAACCACATGTTCAATGTCAGGGGTTGCTTACTGGTTCGTCAATCTTTCTTTGACAATAATCCGAGGAACTTCACTGACGTTGGAGGAGGAGTTCTTGGATGCCGAGGATTCCACTCGAGTTTCCGAACCTCTCAGGGAGGCTTGTCGTTGAACATAGGTACACTTTGTTTGCATATTTTTTCTTCATTCTCTCATTTTAACTAAATCACCCTCTTGTTCAATAATTTTGTTGCACTCGTTAATTATGACGTTATCCCCCTTTTTTTTTTGTTTGCAGACGTATCTACAACCATGATAATTCGGCCTGGTCCCGTTGTTGACTTTCTTATTGCTAACCAAAATGTGAAGGATCCCTTTTCTATTGACTGGGCAAAGGTAATGAACAATTTCAACTAGGCAGTTTTATGTGTTTAATTGAACTACTACTTTAATCAAGAGTGTTTTCTCATCATTGCAAACAAAATCAACTATATTTGAATCCCTCAGGCAAAACGTGTTCTGAAGAATTTGAGGATAACGACGATTCCTACTAACCAGGAGTACAAAATTACTGGATTAAGTGACCGGCCCTGCAAAGAGCAATTGTATGGTTTCTCTGTTCTGTTCGATCTTATTAATTATTTTTTCGCTATTCTGGTTTCCTTTGTTTGGCATGAGTCTGAAATTGCTCCCTTTTTATCAAATGTTTCAGGTTCTCACTGAAACAGAAAAACAAGGATGATGCTGGTGAAGTTCAAACCAGTGAAGTGACTGTCTATGATTATTTCGTTAATAGCCGTAACATTGATTTGCGATATTCTGCTGATCTGCCTTGTATCAATGTTGGGAAGCCAAAGCGTCCGACTTACTTCCCAATCGAGGTAATGATAGTAAGTGTTTGCATATCCTCTTTTTACTATATTACCATCTTAATGTAAATTTCTGCCTTAGTAGTGAGCACAGTTTTTGTTACTTACATTATTGTGACATAATTATTATCCAGAAATTGTATGAACTTTTCTGACTTGGCTAGTCTAGTTGAATGACAAACTCACCAGGATCGGGAGGACTTTTTCTCAAGATTTGGGTGTAATCAATTGTTATACTCTTGTGTTACTTGTCAGCCGAACTGATCTGTCCTATAAATTTTCTAATGAGGACTACCGAATCCCATATCCTTTATTGATATACTTCTAATTTCAATTGAATACCTGCAATTTCATCCCCTTAGATGACTGATTGAATGGTAAACCATTAGTAATTTGATACCGAACTGCAATGTGAATATCTGCATGCTTTTAGTAAATCAGGAATTTAATTGGACTTATATTCTTGATGCTTTTAGAAGTTCAACCTCCACGACTTGCGATTAGAATGTCATCAACACGTGTTAATTTTGTCTGTTTATTTGTCAGGGGACGACCCGACCTACTCATTACCATGTCCTGTTAGACGAAGTCGGTTTCTCACCAGATGATCTACAGGAGCTTGTGCATAATCTTTCTTATGTGTAAGTTGAATTGTATACTACAGTTAATTCACTCCCAAATTGAAACAATGAGGTATTTGATTATAATCGCAACTTTCTTTATCCCAGTTACCAGAGGAGCACTACTGCTATATCTGTAGGTAAGATATGATTTTAACTCATTGTACGAGAGCCATGTCATTTACGAATTATCACACTGAATACTTCTGTTCCTTCTTTCATTTTCAAATTTTTCCTTGACTGATTAATTTTGTTATTTCTCAACTGCAGTTGCTCCTATCTGCTATGCTCATTTGGCTGCCACCCAGTTGGGGCAATGGATGAAGTTTGAAGACGCATCAGAGACATCATCAAGCCACAATGGGGTGGCACCTGCTGGTGGTGGTCCTCCTGTGCCACCGATGCCTAAGTTGAAGGAGAGTGTCCGTAATTCTATGTTTTTCTGTTGATGCGTATTTAGCCCTTCTTGGCTTGTGCATAAAGACAACTTCGGCTGTGGTAGTTTGTGTAGCGTTCAGTATGACTTACGGAAGTTTATGTGAAGTGTTTGATATTTGGGTGGTTCTGAACCTAGTAGATGTCAGTTGTCTGTGTATTTATATCCTCAAGCTAGTCCCCTTTGCACTGGCTGGATTTTCTGTCTAGGATATTGTGTTTTGTCAAACTCACCCGTGGGAATGTTTTGTGGCAGTTTGCCTAGTACGAACTATTATGTTAGGGAAAGTTCTATTTAGCATCTTTTTTGACTGCTTAGATTTATTTACTTTTGCTCCTCAATTTCCTGTCTCTTTGCGCATTGTGACAAGTTCTAACAGGATGAGGCTACTGAGATATGACCGAAGAACGGACAGCGTGCTTGGACTATTCAAGCTGCTGGGCTGTAATTTGCAGCCTTATTTGTGGCCCTTTTTTTTTTCTTGTGATGGGTGTTACTTGCCCATTGAACTAGGCATTGAGCAACTCTAGAAGGATTTCACCTGAGCAGTTGGGAGGCTTGAAAACTCCTTGACAGCCTAGAATCACATCCTACATATCCTTTCTTCATTGTTGTCGCAGGATTGGCGAACCAGTACACATCAAGAAACCTTGGTTGGAGCCAGGAATTGACGACTCCAAAATCTGCTTCCGATGACCTAAAAAGTTGAGAACCCGTTTAAAGAGATTCCTATTGGGCAGCGAATAAAGAAGGAAATTGAGCGTCTTGGCTAGTTATGCGTAAAAAATGGATATTTGAGATCAGCTTGCAATGCTATATACTCCTTAGCGTATTCGACATGTTCAAGAATAAAGGGATGAGAAGTCGAGCAGTGGACTGCAGCTTCTGTCGGAAAATATCACAGGAAGAATCAAAATACAGATAACTCATCATTTCCATCCAAATTTCAGGCCCCAGAGCCAAGAAACCGTAAACCTTAAAAAAAAAAAAATACTGAGAACCACCTCTTGCCGGAGAATAGAATGATCCAAATAAAATAAAGCGCTCCGGTATTGGATGCTGGGAAAGGGATAATCGTGCAAGGTTCTTATGGTTCACTAGTTATCAAAGATTTGAACAATGAAATTTCTGCCATATTTTGACATTAAGCGAATGCAAAAAGGCTGCTTAAAAGCTTAGTCGAAGAGAGCTCAGTAATTCGAGGGATACCTTCAAGGTGTGTTGTGTTAAATATAGATTGACCTTAAAAGTTATCCATCAATAGATTTTATAGGGCAATTATTAGGCCTATCTTTGTCTAATATTAAAAGTTACAAAGAAGTTAAAAATTTATTATTATTATTTTAAAGTGAAATATTAATTTCAATCATTATTAACCACACATTTTGTGGGACTAATTCCATTCCTGCACAAAAAATGGCTGATAATTTTACTTGAACACTCTATAGGTATTGTAAAGTGACCTTATATATGCCTAGGTATCTACGCATAGTTATTAGAACACCTAAAGTAAAGTAAAGTAAAGTAATGCAATCCAGCGCACTATTGTTTTAATACACCAATTTAGGTGGCACTAAGTGATATTAAATGAGAAATATGATTAAATTTTAATGAATTTTAAAGGATTATAAATTTTAATGAATTTTGTGAATTTGAATGGATTCTCACAAATTTCATAAGAGTCTCATCAAATATGGTGAAATTTCAAAAAAATTGCTTATATGTATTTTTAAGCTTTAAATCCATTTAAAAATCTTTTAAAATCTTTCCATCAATGAAATCCTTATAAATCCATTAATTATTGAGAATACCTAAATTTTAAAGAATTTCATTAAAATCTCAATTGGGAACACCTAAATTTTAATGGATTTCATTAAAATTCAATAAAATCTTAATTGAAAACACCTAAATTTAAAATGACTTCTAAAATCTATCGTAATCTCAATTGAAGACAACCCCCTTAATTGAGTATATCACATAGTGCCACCTAAAATAATGGTGTGGCATCAGTGAAACCAAATAACATTATTCCATAATGTATGGTAAGTGTAAATCTAATGACCTTATAGGTATCCATGGATTGATGGAAGGAAAATTAAGCGTGATAATTTATAAAATAGTCTTGACTTTGCACTTTCCTAGGTTCTTATAAATACTTGGTCTGAAGAACATTAAATGGTTGTTGTGTTGTTTTAAATATACATTTGATCATCTATAGACATATTTGAAATCATGCTACATAAATACAATGGTTAACATAAACTTTAACATACTGTCACATGACATATCATCGAACTGTTTAAAACACAGTCAACTTTTTTCAACTAATCATATCTTGTCAACAATTATGTCATGAAGTAGCATTATTCATATATTTATAGGATCATACTATATGTACTCACACTTTTATACAAAAAGTTTTACTTACACTCACAATAGGGGTGGAGACCACACAGTGGACATTTTTGAATTCGTGTGGGGTCCGCATTTTTTGTGAGTTTGTGTAACTCATTTTGTCAAAGTTTGTGAATACATATATATTAATCCGTATTTATAAGGTGTGATGTTTTGTAAATGATGTTTTGAAAGTCATTGACCTGAAAAAAAGTAGTAATTCAAAAAATAATACCTAACTTTATGACCATTAACAGGGCAAGTGAAATGTCACTTGTTTCTTGATCAAATCGGCACTAACAAATCATAAGAAGGTAGATTGAAGATTGGATAATTCTGTTTGGACAGTCTAATTGGCGCCTCCTCCAATAGGGGGCGTAATTTCAACGCCATGGACTGTCCGTCCAGCATTGTCTTTGAAGATTTGACGATCACAATTTACATGAAACATCATCACTGGCTACCAGTTAATAGCAAGATGGAGTTAAGTGATTGAAGTAATTAAGACCGTATTGCAGCCCAGAAGAGCGAAACTAACTACCGAAGTTTTGGGTATAGTTTCGAGTGAAGGAAGCCAAGCATTTTGCTAGATACAGTGTTGGAGCCACGTTCAGGCACAGGTCAGTTGGCCGGTTTAATGTTTCAATTATTATTATTATTATTTTTTTTTTTGTGCTGCAGAGTTCGCCATTAATATTTTGAAATGTTAAAAGAACCTATCTCGACGAATGAAGAACATATCCTAATATTTCGAAATGTTAAAAGAACCTATCTCGACGAAGAACCTATCTCGACGAATGAAGAACATATCCTAATAATTCGAAATGTTAGATGAACCTATCTCGACTAATGAAGAACATATCCTAAAAAATAAACCTAAAGACATGACTTGTTATTTTTAACTTGTCATTTAACT